CCCCAAAACCCCAAAACCCCAAAACCCCATAAGTTATTGGTTTATTGATTAAAATACACAAACTCCTGACCCTCGGCTTCTAAGTCCTTTGTGAAGTGTTAGCAAGATTGGCAGATTTTGCTCTGGCCAGCCTCTGCTTATGCTTATAGATCCTTTCAAGTGTAGCATTATCTAGGATACTTAGGCATGGACGTTTGAGTCTTGTCCGGTGAAAACCTCTCTTGTGGATCTTCAAGCTTGGCTGAAGCTCAGCCAAGCTTGAAGAATGCCCATTGATGGTTTTGTTGTGGCAATCGTCAAAGATTGACTCCTGAGATGCCTCTAAGTAGCCACTACTGGCTTGTGCAAGGAAGTTGAATTTATTGGTGAGGTGTTTAAGATTACGCCTGTTCTCATTATCGTCTTTCCTTGACACTGTGACTTCCTAAAAATTTAGTTTTATTTTACCTTATTTGGAGCAATAGAACGTCCTTGATTTCTTTTGAACTCTGTAGATCTTATTCTTTAGAGTCTTTAGTAATTTTTGAGTTATAGAAAATATTAGATGGACAATAATGGAAAAAGTTTTACAAAGGTATTTTCTCTTGACATTTTAGCTAAGATTCTAAAAATATAGTCCTCTTTAATATTGCAGTGAACTTGTCCCTCTTTACATAACCAGACATACTTTGAGTTTCTTCAGTGCATAATTCTTTATTCGAAGCTTTGCTTTCAAACTCAAGTTGCCTTGAGAGCACAACTTAGGATGAACCGAAACCATGTGCGACTCTGGTGAAGATCCTAGGATGCTTTTTGAAGGGAGATCTACTTGACGCTTTCTATTAACGATTAGTTCACAATAACAAATAAATTGGGAACCTCAGGCCAAACTTTAATTCATGGACAAAGGAGCACTGGATGATTAAGGAGTGGTATAAGCAAGGATTTGAAAATTAGGAATACATCTGCAGAGGGAAGGACTAACTAGAAGGAGAGATTTTAAGAAATGTGATGAGAAAGTGAACAAAGATGTCTAGAATTGAATGCGCCATATAAAAGTGGGCTTACCAGACTTTTGTTTTTCTTGGAATTTTTGAAAGTCTTCATTTTGTTTTTCCCTTCTGTTTTATGGATTTGGAGGAGGGAAAGAACGAATAATTTAGATTATTTTTAGAGTCCTGTTTTGGGTTATTTTGGTAAGGAGAAATAATCTCAATGCTAGAATAAGTTTGGTAAAGGTTTGTTGCTAAAATTTTATTTTTTCTTTGTAACCCGGATTCCTTCTACTGAGTTGTTTAGTTCTTGATTGATATTTTTGTAGCTAAGTTCTCTATTTCCATAACTGAAACTTCCTAGATCATGTTACAACTCTAAATTACTTTGATGCTTTTGCATTTCTATAAATTCTTATCAAATTAGTTTCAATTTAAATTCATTAATAGGGGTTTTGGGGTTTTGGGGTTTTGGGGTTTTGGGG